ATCTTATACTCACCTGTAAGAGGGGACCAACAAGAATGCCTTCCTCACTGAGTTGTTATGAGAATGAAATGATGCTGGGCCTATAAAGCGCTAAGGCAGCGTTGGGCAGACTACCGAGTACCCACTACCGGTGGGTTTCTATCATCACTTATTCCAATTACTCTTTTCCTGTGTTCGCAACAGGCACAGGCCATCTAGCAGTGTGTCTGGGGGCCGTCCGTGAAGTGTCATCCACAAATCCACTTCCCCAGTGAAGAAGCAAGAAAGATGTTGATCAGCAGGAACTTGGACACAACTCCAACTCCAGCTACTGAGAAAGAGCATTTCAAATACAAAGCAAGCGTTGGCTGTGAATTGGCTGTTTTTCCCCTCTGTCAGCCTTGGCTTCCCCAACTATGAAGTGGGGGCAGTGTGCACGACCCTGCTCCTGGCCGCTGAGGGCTGCGCACCTGCCCTCCACAGGGAGCAGGTTTGGTGGCTCCTCACCTCCCAGAAGCAGACAACCTCTTGACTGGGAGTGTGGATGAGAAATCTATTTGGAGTGTGCTTGAGCCCTGATCCCCCACAGGCCTTCCTCTTCCAACTGAGGCCAAGCCGTCCCCTCACGGCTGTTTTCCCAGCTTGTCTCCGCTGCCTTCTAGCTAATGAGGCGCAGTGCTGAAGTCCTGACAGAGCGGCTTGGCCGGCGGCCTGGCTCACTGGGCTGTGCTGACCAAGAGCGATGGCCAGATGAGGAAACCTTTGGGGACACTCACGTAGTCATTCTCTGAAAGGTCAGACCTCAGAACTGAGTTTTCAAAATGCCGTATCCTGTGTCAAAAATGTTTCTGGCACATTCCACGGAAGTGCCCGACATTCACCTCATTCAGCTCCAGACACATTCTAGAAGGTCACGCACAGCACCCAGCACCCAGGTTGCTGAGCTACGGGGGAGCAGGCCTGGGGGCATTGGGTCAGGAGTGGCCTGGCTGCTGTTTGGCAGTGGACATCCCTGTCTCAGTTTTGGTGGTCCCTGGCCAAAAATAGGGGAAATATGGACTAAACTTTTTAAAATAAACTTTTAATTTTGAAATAGTTTTATATTTACAGAAAAATTGCAAAGATAGTACAGGTAATTGCTGACTGTCCCTCACTCGGTTCCCCCAGTGATTAGCATTTTATATTTCCATGTGTCCCACCTGAGAAACCAACAGTGGCACGTTATTATTAATTAAACTGCAGACTTTATTTGGATTTCACTCATTTTCTCACTAATCTCCTTTTTCGGTTCCAGGATACCACACTGAATTTAGGACTAAATCATTTATAAAATCCCCTCCCAGCTCCAAAGACAGAGGCAGTAAGCTTTCATGGTTAAAGGCCCTGGATGTGTGAATGGGCAAATGAACGCTGTGCGGTGTGACTTTGGGCAAACCCTTCACCCTCTCTGAACCTCGGTCTCTTCATCTATAAAAAGGGGATGATACCAGTACTGCCTTAAGGGGTGCTGTGAGGCCATCGTTTCCTAATTCCCGGGAAGCACTTAGCACTGCTGTTAGAACACCATGGGCACTCCGTTGATAAATCTCAGTGAGCAGAAATCACTGCTTGAAACTGGGACCAACTCAGCATACTGTACACTTCCTGGCTAAAAAAATCTCCCAGCCCAGCACAATGGCTGCTCTAAAGGAAGACATCATGATGCTGGTCTAGCACATCAGGTCCAAAGTGGAAAGCACAGGCCGGGGAAAAACAAAGATGTAGAGTCACACAGGTTGGGGTGGAGTCCTGTCCATTTCCTAGCTGCGTGACCTTGAGCAAACTGTTAAGCCTCTGGGTCTCAGCATTCACATCTATTTAATGGGAACAAACCATCCACCTTACAGTGCTGCTAAGAAGATAAAATGAAATACACACAGAAAAACATCTAGCAGGATGTTCGGCTGCATCTTTCTCTTTTCCTGTATTTTCTAGAAACCACTAAGTCATTGACTGCTATTAGGGTCTTTAAAGAATCCACCAAAATCAGATATGGGCCGTTCCCCAGAGGCTGGTGTGGAGATCCTGCTCCTTTTTCTTTTTTCTTTTCTTTTTTTTTTTTTAAGGGGAGGGGATGATTAACCAAACCCTTGCCCTCCCTTTCGCAGTCAAAGTCAGGTTGAAGAGCCAGTTCCATAATCTTCATTGCTACAATGCCTTTTCTCATCCAGGATGAAATTTTCATTCTCATTTCACGCTGCCTGTGCCTAGTTTTAAAGGGAAGCAAAAAGCTATTCCCCTGGTCCCTCTGACAAAGATTATTATAGCACCTGTTTTCACAGAATCACAGAATTCAGTCTGTTCTCACAGAATAGCAGCTGAAGGAGCCAAAGAAATCAGGGTATCACTCCTGGTTAAAGATGAGCAAGTTATTTAATTAATTAATTAAAGATGAGCAAGTGAGAATCAGAGGGGCAGATCTGCTTGTTCAAGTTCATATAGCAAAAGGGCTTCAGAGCTAGGATGAGACCTCAATCACAAGATTTCCACTTCAGTGCTCTTGGCTAATTTGGAGGCCCATTCAGCTCTGAGCTGCTGGGGGACATCCCTCCAGTCATCTATCCACACACTCATCCACTCACTCATCCATCCATCCACCCACTCATCCATCCAGACATCCAGCCATCCAACCACCCATCCATTCACTCATCCACTCACCCACCTACTCATCCATCCAACCACCCACACATCCATCCATCCACTTACCCATCCATCCATCCAACCAGCCATCCATCCACTCACCCACCTACCCCTCCACCCATGTTGGCATTGGACCCCTTCCTGTGGATAAGCACTGAGCTGAGTGCTGGGGAGCCAGGTGTGACGAAGACCATCACAGTCCCTGACTTCGTGGAGCCTTCTGTTCAGTGAGCTAGGACTGAGTTTTGGTCATCGGTTCCCCCAAGGATCTACCATGGTGCCTGACACATGGTAGGCGAACAGTAAATGCTTTTTGAATAATGGATCTCCTCACCTTTATAACTGATGTACTGTTATTTTGATTGTTTTGAAGATGTTAATGTGGCTGAAGTCTCAGTGTTTGTACTTCTCTTGAACCATCTTCTCCAGTCATCATTCTTAGCAGAAGACTTCATGCAGCCGTGTGCAGACACAGTGACAACTTTGGACAAGGAGTACAAAGACTCGAGTTCATGTCCCAGCTCTGAGCTGCTTACTTCTGTGTGGCTACTGAAAGACACTTGAGCCTCAGTTTTCTCATCTATAAAATGGAGCAAATAATATTTGACTGTATATTTCACTTGACTGCTAAATATATAAAAGAAGAAAGAGAGACTAGGAGAGTTGGAAGGAACAGGAGAGGAAAGGAGTGAAAACAGCTAGAAAGTACAATATGAGTAAACGGTTACTGAGATATTATTTGAATGATTTCTGCTGAAGACACAAGGGGAAATAAAAATTACCAAATGTTTAACCGGTGCTCGGTGCACTCTCTGCTTACAACCTTCTATAGTGTAACTGGCTGTGATTGCCCCAGCTTTCTTCCAACCTTTGAAGAGATTAAATTTATGGATTTGTGGCATCACGTGTCATCCCAGCCAATCCTGACCCATATTCCTCTCCGCTTGGCTCATGTAACAACAGCACAAAGAGGTGTTGTAACCTTAATTGCCTGCAAAGTGTTTTGAAATCCTTAGATTAAAAAGCTCAGTGAAGTCCAAAGTGTTAGCCTTCTGTGTGCCCAAGTAATCATGCTGAGCCTCGCCTGGGTTCATTGGAGCAGGGAGAAACTGCAAAGTATGTCCTGAAGTCCCAGGAACTCTGGGGTTTAAGGGTCTTATTCATGGAATGGCCCTAGATCAACCCCCAGCTTCTTAGTTTCTAAGCCGCCCAGGTATTTGAATGTTCCCCACGTTGCTTCATGCTATTTCCATTTTTTTTTCTGAAGTTCTCGAGTCACAAGGCCTGAGTTGCTCTTACTTGGTGTCATAGGTCTTCTTCCCTGGGTGATCTCAGCCTGAGTACTAGAGAAGGATAATTGTGTCATCTGTAACTTCTTTTCAGTTAAGCTCAGGGTAGATGACTTAATCCTCATTCTAACTTCTGCCACAAAAACAGAGTTAAAATCATGTCCCATGGTGTTGGCCCTTGGAAGGCGTGCCAGGCAGGGACCGAAAGGGGCAGGAGGCGCTTCCCTGGGGTCCTGGCAGTGTTTTGTTTGTCTTGCCCTGACTGCAGATTAGGCCCGTGCATTCAGTTTGTGAAAATTCAGAGCTGTGCACTTTTATGTGCATTTTTCTGTGTATTTGTTGCAAAGTGTTTTTTTTAATCACTCTGGATACTAAATGATTTCATTTAGAATAGATTCTGATAGTGAAGCTATACACCTAATCAGATTAAAATCCTTTTTCTTTCTCTGCCTTTGTGATTCAAAATAATGCCCCTTTCAGTTTTCCTTCATTTCCATTTTTACACTTACAGGAAAAAATAAAAAGGAAAGGCCTCAATTAGCCATTTTAATCAAGTCTAATGGGGACGGTGAGGGGGGAGGTTAGCTTCAACAGGGAGTCCTGGGATGCTTCTAGGGCTGTCTGTGGGCCTCTGAAATTATAAAAAAAAATTGTTGGATACACATGTACATTTTCCTGAGAAGTATCCCTCGCTTTCATTCAATTCTCAAGAATCCCTGAACTAAAAAAGACCAAATACCAGAGGGAGTCTTACAACTCAAGACTTACTTGTGTATGCTCCTCTCCAAATGTTTCTCGACTCTAAATTCAACCCGCAGCCCTCACCAACCTCATTTCTCCAAATTGGTTTCACCCATCAAAATGAATTTGCCAACTTCATTGGGAAGTTCATGGGCTAGGCTCTGTACAGGTCCTATATAGTAACCACCATCTGCTTACTTCTGCATCTCCCCCTGGAGATTCCAGGCCCCAAGGCCAGAGACCTTTGCATCCTCAGCATGAAACTACACCAGGCCAAGGTGGACTGGACTCCAAAGAAAGTCACTGCAACTATTTACGAAACCAGATTTATTAAAATTTCTCTACAAGTCAGAAACAGCCGTCTCACATATATATATATATATATATACACACATATATATATACACACACACATATGTACAGGAAGGATCTAGTGTTTCGAAGCCCCAGCCAGCCCAGAGTCCTCAGCCAGCTAATGTATCACAGATACAACGTTCAAGCAACCACGAGAGCATTAGTGCGGCAGAGGCCTCTGCCCTCCCTCTTCTCTGAGTCCCATGATTCTGTCAAGGTAATATTGCCAATGATCATTCACATTTCACGTGGTCTTAGACACGCAGGTTGTTCAGACAGACACAAACAACAAAACAAGCATCAGAGCCAAAACAACAAAAAATATCAGACATATGTATAAAAGGTACAATATATATACAAAGTACACGGTGCGTGAGGTATACACGGTATTCTCACAATGCATGTTAGTAGTTTGCCTAGGCGTAGCCCTTAAAGGTGACTGCCTGTTTTGTTTTTTTTTTTTGTGCCATTTCTCAAAATACAGTATGTTTGGTTTACCCGTTTAACCACCTGGTTTCAGGACTGTCCAAGACATTTACTGATATTTCATCTGTACTCGTATTTTTTAATGCAAGCTACAGTTTCTCTGTTAAGCTCTATCTTTTATAGGTAGTGAGTTCCCATCTCTGGAAGCATTCAAATAGAGGCTGGAGTTCCACCTGTGAAAGAAGCTGAAGGGGGCGGGGGGGGGGGATCTCTGAATTAGTAGGTGGCAGAAAAAGGAAAGAAGTTGGACTGGATGACTTTTAAAGTCCCTTCTGATTTTAAAGATTTGGGCTTGCTATTTCACTGCAGATGCTGGTGGTACAGATGTCTTCATAAACTACAGCGTGTCTGAAACATGGAAAACTGTAGACCATATCCACAGGGGTGGGGGTTAAAGTATAATTCTGGAAGTTAGTCTAAGACTATCCAAAATTCACTTTCTCTGAAGCACAAAGATGTTTAACATTTGCTCTTGGGCAGGGGAGTGGGGAGGCTCCTTATCTTTCTCCTCCTAGACAGAATGTTCCACCCTGAGATGGTCTTGGGGAAAAAAGTAAAGGATAAATCCTAGCATATTTGAGGGGAACCAAAAAAGCTAACAGTTTCCAAGTGTTCGAATTCTTTTTAAAAATCTCTAGTCTCTGTCTGAGCTCAGAGTTCTGAAGTAGCCAGGAGTCTGAATCTTTTGTGATACTTTTCCACAGTTAGCTGCTAAGTGCTTTTAAAGTGGTGGGAGGTGAGAGGGGGAGCGAGTTTCAAGGTCAGAAAGAAGGCATTAGTGCAAATGGGGTCTTGGCAGAAAATGGAGGAGAGATTCTGGGTTCACGGTTCAGGCAGGTTTCTATGCCCCTGGAACAGTCTGCTCCAAAAACATGAAGAAAGGGAGAGCATTAAACCAAACCAGGAAAAAAAAACTTTCCAAGCAGAGAAGCTGGGGTAGCAAGAGTCTGGCTATCAAAGACAAGTTCGAAGACAGCAGGTTTATTGGCCCAAATGATTTGTCACCCTGTTAAAAATATGGTTATTGCCCAAAACGCCATTGTGCGATTCATTTCCTCTCCCTTTAGAATGTTCAGGTTCATTTCACTTGATCACATGCTGCAGGATGTCCATCCTCGTTGCCACCTCTAAAAGATGCGGAACCCCTGAATCTGGCAAAGGGATAGTCGGCAAAGTTTCCTTAAGGGCAACAGCTCTGCAGGGCAGCCAGTCAGAGTGTGCACTGCTCACCTCCCCAGTTACTTGTCAGGACATATAAGAGGGGGGCACCATGTTGAGTTCAGCAGCTACAGTCTTTACGCCATCACAAGTCTGGTTGGCCCCACGCCAAAAGGCCTGTCCATCTTTAGAAATGGAAATAAATGCCATGTGTGAGAATTATGAGGTTTCTGAGGTTTGGGGATTAGCAGAAGAAGGAACTGATGTCACTGTCCTCCTGGCACTCTGGAACAATCTGGTCGGAGGTTCCTATTTCTGAGTCAACGTACCCAGGTTCCAAGACGGACTCAAACCAGGGATGGAGTAAGATCTCCGGAGCAGTGAGTCTCTCAGAAGGCTCCCGTCTCAGGAGGCTGCGAATGAGGCACCTGGCTTTGGGGGAAATGTGGTCAGGAATGCAGAACTGTCCACGTCGGATTTTGGTGAAAAGGGCACTGGGGTCTGAGTCATGGAAGGGGTAGCGTCCCACCAAAAGGGTGTAGAGCATCACTCCGAGGCTCCAAACGTCCGCTGCCTTCCCGGAGTAGGTCCCCGTGGTGTTCAGAATCTCGGGGCTCACGTAGGCTGGGCAGCCGTGTTTGTCTGACAAAGCATCATCTTCTCCCTTAATTATATGTGTATCTTCTAGGCTTTCCAGTCTGAGCTGGGTTCTGTAGGAGAGAGGAAACAAGCCATGACTTTCAGGTCAGCTGCTATAAGAAACAAGGCCCTTCCAATAACAGCGCCCACAGGCACTCATTGCAAAGACCCAAGGAATGCCAGTTACCCCTTCATCCAGTAAGCAGTGCCTTGCAACAACCCAGGAGGACTCAGGATTTCACAAACCAATATGAACTGCAATAAACGTTCACAAAGTATTGAGAGAGCGCCTGGGGCGGAGGGTGTGATGCAAAGCCCCAAATACTATTCGTTATGCTAGAGCTTATAAGAGATATTCTAACAGGGGTTACCCAATTGACAAAGTTCACGTTGCAGCAGTGGGAACCTGTCTCAGGGGAATGCTGACATTCCTCCAAAAGTTATCAGGGAAGAGCATTTAATCCTACTTCTTCAGGGAGAGCCTGTGCATCCGACAAGCTGATCTTATCTCTTATCATGCCACCGGCTGCCAGGGCTACTTGGACCCACGCTTTGCATCACAGGACACGCCAGAACACAGAGCCCAAGGTTACTGTTTTCACACACAGGTTGTCAGCACCCCTGTTCATAGTGAGATATACACACAGAGGGAACTGTCCACCTGAGTCCAAGCCACGATGACTGTGATGGGAAACATACAAGGATGTTAATTACGTTTATGGGGATGTTCAATTGCAAAGAATGCTTAGCCTGGACAGAGAAGACAAAGAGAAGCAGCCGATGGATCTGAAACATACAGGAGTCCTAAAACGCCCACATGCATGCATGCACACACACATGCCCTAGGATGGCACGTGAACATCTGAGCACATTTACTCAGGTAGGGGTTTATCTGTTCAGGTAGTATCTAAAGTTTGAAAAATCTTTAGCCAAGCCTCTCTGATGAAGCTGCAGGTACCTCCTTTTTCAGAACCAGCCACTCAATTCTCCTGGATCCCCCAAAGCCCAGAGCCATGTGGGGAACCTCCAATATCTGGTGGCCACTTGTGATCCTCCTAGGCTCTCTGCAATAGCCGTTTCAGTAAGTCACTTGTTGTGAAGTTAAACGCAAACATTTGGTACTGGCTACTGGGTCAATTCCTTTTCCTCTCAAAGGTCCAGTTTTGTTTTGTTTTTTTTCTTCCTGCCTTCCTGTTCCCTGGAGTGTAGTATACATGTGCTAACTTCGGTATGTCCTCAGCCTGACCTCCCGTCGTTATGTAAAATACCCATTGGTTCTGTAAACGGAAAATATGACTCAACCCACACTGTCCGCTGCTGATTGGCTCCTGTAGTACTAAAACCCTGCACCTGTGCTGGTTACACGAATAGCGTCAGCCTGCCATTGCTTAACCCTCGGGTTGCCAAATGCCACGCACATGACATTTGCCTGTGCAATGCGGATTTCAAAAGTAAGCGAGGAGGTGTGCAAGGCGTGTTTCAGAAAATACATCACCCTATCAAAAGAGCGTGTTCCAGGAATTGGAAACTTCTTCATTGCCAACACTTTGCTTTTCTTTGCTAATCAGTAATGTTCCAATAATGACTGCAAGGTCAGATGCAAAGAAAAGCCATGCTTTATAGCAACTCAGCCTTGAACTTTTTCATAGTATCTGGGGTTAAGGGTAAAAAAAGGCACAGGTGGGGTGAGCTCTGCATGAATGGCTGTAACAAAATAACACACATGCACCTCTGCATGTCTACAAGGGTATGGCTTTTAATCTTTCCACGAGGGATGTGGCCCACCTCTTAAAATCAGGTAAGGTTTATCTCCTGCAGCTTCCTGAATTCTCTTGCCTGAAACCTCAACTCTGAATCTTAATGTCTCATTATTGTCTTATCAAGCTTATCTTGTTCTTTCTGGGGTAAGCCATGACCTATACTTAGCAACCAATTCTAGCCAACCTCCATTTATCATTCAACGTGGCTGTTTTCTGAAGATGGATCCAAACAAGATGTCTAAAACGTTACCGGGGAATGTGGAGAATATATTGGGGTCAAGCCTGACATAGAACAGGAGTGTGATGTGAAGAAGCAGGTGGAACTGTGCAAATACGACAGTCTGACTAGCTCTGTGATACTTACTAGGTACAAAAAAAAAAAAAACCCACTCAGTACAAACAAAGATTTGATGACGTCCTCTGGGAATCGATATTGTGAAGGGCAAGCTGACATTTGTATCCCAGGACTGACCTTTCTGACAACAATGGAAATAAACCCGATCCCGGGGTGGAAGTGGCAAGAACATCCGGTCATCACGTGACATCCCCCAGATGCACCAAGGTGTCCCCAGACCACATCCACAAGGGTGCAGAATAACCAACCTTGGCTTTGGCTCCTCGGGAGAGGACTTCTAAATGCTAACTCTGGGACAACTGAGCCCTTGGTGTTGCTTGTAAACCAACACACTGCACCTAACTGCTCAATGTGCACATTTGTTTTGATTCCAAAAGTGCATAGTAGGAGCTGTAGAGGGCCCTCACCTCTCCTCCGTGGAGAAGACAAATTTCCTAAGCTTCAGGTCCCCCAGCACGATGGCCGACTGGTGGCAGTGGGCAACGGCGGAGACGATCTGCTTGAAGAGGCGGGCGGCCTCCTCTTCCCGCAGCCTCTTCCGGCTGCGCACATAGGAGTGCATGTCCCCAAAGTCCTTCTCAAAGAAGACATAGGCCTTGGTTTCCCCAAGGATCACTTCCACGATGCCAGTGATGTTCCTGTGTGATGGCAGCTGGATGTAAGGCCGGATTTTGTCCTGGTAGTGTTTAATGGGAAACACCTGCAGAGAGAAGGTGACCCACTTAGGAGGCTAGAAACGCAGAGGCTGCCTCCCAGATCCTGGGCTGGGATGCAGTTCTCAGTCTTTGGGCTTTGGGTGAAAATAAATTTCCATTCATTTACTCCCCTGCTTAGCTCTGCAGCCCCACCTTATGCACCCTGGCTACCCATAACACCCCAACCCAATAACATCTAGGGCTCTGGGCAAGCAAATATCCAAAGAGCTACCATATGGATGGTTTGAAAGAAGTCTTTTGTGTCTGGCCTTCCATGAGGCCACCAGCTTCAGAGCTAAGCTCCTAAGCCCCCACCCTCTGTGGGCCTTCCTTGTTGGCAGGTGATGCTGTGTACAGTGGCTGACAGAGGTTCCCTTGGGATCTCCAGGAGCTGCCCCTGGAAATGCATGACTCCCTGCAGATCAGAGAGCGCACAGAATGTGGTGACTGCAGCCTCCAAGTGCAAGCAGGAACTGGAGAACATGGAGACTCTGTCATTAGTCAGAAGGAACAGATGACTCCGCAAGAGAAATTGTGAACACAGCCCTAAGCAACCTGCCTAGGCTGACTCAGGTACGAGCAGTCTTGAGTTAAAATTCCCACAGGAGGGATATGGGATCCTCTCCCGGGTTTTATCATTTGTTTATTTATTTCCCCCCCCCCCCAGCTAACTCCCACCCCCACCTTCATCCAGGAATTGAGTAGCATCTCCTCTAAGAAGCTGGCTGGGCTCTTTAAGGGCCCTTTGTTTAGTCCAGTTACTCATATCCTAGACTCAACTGGAAACGGTGACACACGGGCTGTCACCATCTGGATTCAGCTATTATCTGCTCAGAGGAACTGGAAGGGGTTGCACAATGGCCAGACCCACCCCACCTCTGAGGCCTGGCTGCCCTGGCACCAGCTCGGAAAAACCTCTCTGCAGCCCCCCTCTTCCCACCCCAGCCCACACTCATTCTCTTCCCAAAACAGCTTTTAGCACCAGCGACCCAGAAGAAAAGATTTTTCCCCCTCCCTTTAAACGGGGCTTGAACTTGCATTTGAAATTTCATTCAGGTAGGACAGTAGGTGGCAGCAGCGAGCCCAGGGAAGGGGAGGTTGGCCGGGGTTGGGGTGGGGGGGCCGTCAGGTGAGTCGCGGAAAACCCGAGAGCGACTTTAACTGAGAGGTGACCCTATCTTTCGGGTGAAAAGAAGCAGCCCAGAGGGTTCTCAGGAATGTCAGAGGCGGGGGTGTCCAGTTCGCAAAGGACGGATGGACTGTGAGAATGTTCTGCGTCTATGGGCGCTGGAAGAGCGCACGGAGGATTCTGTTTCCAGGAGTTGTATCTCCTCCTGGATGGAATCCCTTATGTTCAAAAGAAAATCACTGGCCTGAAAATCAAGACATGAATGGAAGTGAAGGTTCCTAGCCGGGGAGGGCTTTCCAACATTTCTACCCCGGACAAATCCCCCCCACCCCTCCCCATGCTGGAAGACCCCCTCAGACTGCTCTCTGAGGACAGGGTTCCCGTCCCAGAGCGAGTTCCAGCGGGAATCCCCAAGACCCGAGCCCGACAACGGACTTCTTGCCCTCTTACCACCCACGGCTGAGCCCGGGTGCCTCGCAGCCTCCGCAAGAGAGCTGCCAGCTGCTCCAAGCTCCAAGGAGGCACCCACTGCAGGGCGTCCTTCCAGAACAACGGGCGGGGGGAGCGAGGAGAATGAGAAAAGGGGAATGGCATGGCCCTGGAATCCATTTCAATTCCACAACTTATATGGAACGCCACGCGCTAATCTGGGCGCTAAGAAAATACTGTAGATATAAAGCAATTGAAAACCGCACTTCCTCTTGACCGCCGAGCCCCCATTATTAACCCCATTAACCACTCCATCCGAAACCCCTCAATCCCCAGCAGGGTGATCCTGGTCAAAAGCTGCCTCACCGGGCTCAAACCCACTTATTCACCTTGACCCCAGCCCAAGCGCTGGTGGCACCTTCGGCTCCTGGGCACCGGCGGGCGAGATCCCAAACGCCTTTGCCTGCCACCGTGTCCCCCTACCCTG